AAATATATTTTGATATAATAAATGACCCTTTCAAAGGCCAGTGAAAACATACTGCCAGTTAGTGATACGCTATATATATATATATATATATATATATATAGTGCTGTCAAATGATTAATCGTATCCAAAATAAAAGTTTGTGTGTACTGTGTATATTTATTATGTATATATAAATACATGTGCATGCTTGTATATATTTAAGAAAATGTTTGAACCCTTCTATATATATATAGAAGGATTTCTGAAGGATCATGTGGCACATAAAGGGATAGTTCAGTACTTTTTTTTTTGTGCGCAAAGAAAACAAAAATAATGAGTTTATTCAACAATTTCTTCTCTTCCATGTCAGTCTTTGACGTGCGTTCACTAGAGTACCACGACGATTGATGATGTGTGTGCAGTCCTCTGCTTGTAAACAAGGTGCAGCGCATCCGGGTTCTACGTCAGAATGCATCACTCCTGCATCAGCAGCACCACATGCATGTGTCGTGGTACTCTCATGAATGTGCTTCGATTGACATGGAAGAGAAGAAAGTTCTTTGCGCACAAAAAGTATTCTTGCAGCTTCATAAAATGAAAGTTGAACCACTGATGTCACATGGACTATTTGAGTGATGCCCTTACTACCTTTCTGGGCCTTGAACGTGGTAGTTGCGTTGCTGGGTCAGAAAGCCCTCGTATTTCATCAAAAATATCTTAAGTTGTGTTCAGAAGATGAAGGAAGGTCTTACGGGTTTGGAACGACATGAAGGTGAGTAATTAATGACAATTTTAATTTTGGGGTGAACTATCCTTTTAATACTACAATAATGGCTGCTGAAAATTCAGCTTTGCCATCAGAAGAAAGAAGAAGAAGAAAGAGCTTTATTGCCAAGTATGTTTGCACATACAAGGAATTTGTTATAGTGTCACAAGCTTCCAGTACACGGAGACAACAACAACACACAGATAATAAAAATGAGATGTGAATAAAATACACATGCATAAATATAAACCACAAAAAAAGAATAAATTTTATGTACAGGTGTGCTATAGATGGAATAGGAATAGAATAAAATAAAATAAGTTGTAGGGATGTACTAGGGTTTAGGGTGATAAATAAGTATAAGGTTATTGCACATACTGTACTTTAATTGCACAATGGGAGAACATTAACTGTTCATGAGGTAGATTGCCTGGGGAAAGAAACTGTTCTTGTGCCTGGCTGTCCTGGTATTCGGTGCTCTGTAACGCCGACCAGATGGCAAAAGTTCAAAAAGGAGATGGCTTGGATGTGATGGATCCAGAGTGATTTCCTGAGCCCTTTTCCTCACTCTGGATGTATACAGTTATTGGAGGGTAGGCAGGGGGGCACCAATAATCCTTTCAGCAGTCCGAACCATTCTCTGTAGTCTTCTGATGTCTGATTTTGTAGCTGAACCAAACCAGACAGTTATTGAAGTGCACAGAACAGACT